ATTCTGTGGAAGATGCTGTGGGAGTATGGGGTCAGAGGCACTCAGGTAAGGGCTGTCTCGTCCCTATATAAACGGAATAGGGGTCTGGTTCGCATTGCCCGCAATAAGTCAGACTTGTTTCCAGTGCATGTTGGACTCCAGCAGGGCTGCCCCTTGTCACCAATTCTGTTCATAATTTGGCATGAAATCGGGCGTCCGATTTGGGGACCACAGGATTTCATCTCTGTTATTCCCAGAAGATGTTGTTCTGTTGGCTTCATTGAACATGGACCTTCAGCCGAGTGTGACGTGACTGGGATGACAATCAGCACTTCCAAGTCCGAGGCCATGGTGCTCCACCGGAAAGAGGTGGTTTGCCATCTCCAGGTTGGAGGAAAGTCCTTATCCCAGGTGGAAGAGTTCAAGTATCTTGGGATGAGGGAAGGATAGAACATGAGATTGTCAGGCGGATTTGTACTGCAGCAGCCGTAATGCAGTCGATGTACAGGTGCGTTGTGGTAAAGAAGGAGCTGAGCCGAAAGTCAAGCTTTTGATTTACTGGTCAATCTACAGTACTACTCTCACCTATGGCCATGAGCTTTGAATCATGACAGAAACGACAAGATCTTGGATCCAAGCAGCTGAAATGAGTTTCCTTCTGAGGGTGGCAGGGCGCACCTTTATGGGTAAGGTGAAGTGCTCTGACACCCGGGAGGAGCTCGGAGAAGAGCCGCTGCTCCTCCACATCGAGAAAAGTCAGCTGAGGTGGCTCAGGCTTCCGCTTCGAATCCCTCCTGGACGCCTATCAAGGGAGGTGTTCCAGGCATGTCCCACCAGGGGGAGGCCTTGGAAAAGACCCGGGACATGCTGGAGGGTCTCTCGGCTGGCCTGGGAATGCCTCGGGATCCCCTTGGAGGAGCTGGAGGAAGTGTCTGGGGAGAGGGAAGTCTGGGGTTCTTATTGATTGAATGTTTAGATATTTGGAAATGCTCTTCATTTAAATATATATTTGACCAAAAACAAGACAAACCTCCAAAGAAGAAAAGGTGCAGTGTTTGCGTTGTAATTTTATGTCTTGTTGTCATGAATTATTATATTTGATAATAACTTAGTGTTAAGAAGATCACACTTTACAATAAGGTTCATTAGTTAATGTTTTACTAACATGAACAAACAACGGACAATACATTTACTACAGTATTTATTCATGTTAATAAACGTTAGTTAATGAAAATACAGTTGCTTATTGTTAGTTCATGTTTACTCACAGTGAATTAACTAATGTTAACAAGCATGGACTTGAATGTTAATAATGCATTAGTAAATGTTCAATTATGATTATTAAATGCTGTACAAGTATTGTTCAAGATTAGCTCATGTTAGTAAATGCATTAACTAATGAACCTTATCGTAAAGTGTTACCATTAAGAATTTATGGTACAGCTAACAATTTCTTGGCAACTTAATAGATTTTTTTTTTTATTTAATTTTATTCTTTTTCATGCCAGCAACCACCCACATATTACACAATATTGCAGCAAAGTTTCACTACCACTCTTCGGAAAAATGTAAAAATGTTATGGTCTGATATTGTCTTGTGTTAGTTCTAGCTCATTTAGCAAAGCTGATGTGCCAAAAACAGAGCAGAAGGGGTCACGTCTTTCTTTTTTTTTTCTTCTTCTTTTGATTACACAAATTACTTCAATTCATTAAAGGGAAATTTCAAGCCTTATCAAGCACATCTCTCTCTCTCTCTCTCTCTCTCTCTCTCTCTCTCTCTCTCTCTCTCTCTCTCTCTCTCTCTCTCTTATGCTCTCTCTCCCTCACACATACAAATACACACACATGTACAATATTTATTCATTTTTTTTTAATTTTCTGGTTAGTTTGTATTTATATTTGTTTAATCAATCTGTTTGTTTGTTTTTGTTTCATCCTCGTCTCTAAATGTGTTCAAATAAGGAAAATAATATTGAAACTGACACAATCCTTTCTTCAATACTCAAACCAAAGTTTTACCCTTGATCACACTCATAACATTATACAGTTGTGTGTCCTCTTAAACCAAAAAAGTACACACACACACACACGCATAATCGCCAGCTTTGCAAATCAGCACTTGGGGCGAGTGTGTGTTTTTTCAGGGTGGCCGGTAATCGGAGCTCCAGTGGCAGGTGCTTCATGAAGGCAAGCCACGCTGTAAAGCACGTCAATCTGCTAATATCTATTATGGGCAAACGGAGGTGGATTAGAGCTGGAGTGAACAGGGCATTTAGCAGTAAGAACAGAGGAACACAACGTGCCTCGGGACAAGAACAGCCTGTCTGACGGAGCGACCCCCAGAGGGATTTGTTTTGGGCAGATGCAAAAAAAAAAAAAAAAAAAAAACCTGGGCTACTGAACTACACAACCCTGAAACAATTAGAGATCTGTCTGCCTCTGAATTTGCATGACAAGCAGCGTTCTGTTCCCTGCGGTCAGACATGGGCAATTTCCCCGCCAGTTATTGAATCAGGAAGCAAAGAGCAGAAAAAAAAAAGAGAAAATTAAAAATAGAGAGCAAGAGGAAAAAAATCCTGCCGTTGATCTAAAAAGCATGAATGCTGTGTAGGTAATGTTGGAGGAGTAGAAATGAGGAAGTGGCAGTTGCTTTTCTTACATATGTAAATAAAATAAAAAAATGGGAAAAGCATTACTTCTAGGCGACAAACTAGTATTGCTTTTTTTTTAATACCGCACCCTTGACTGAAAGGTTTGCAATATTATATGGGTGGTGGGAGGAAAAAAAAATATGAATATGTAATGCGACTTTGGCTGTACTTTGGCAATAAGATGAAACTCAGCGCATTTGCATTCCAATATTTAATATTTTGGCCTTCTGCAATCACTCGCAACATTTATATTCGAGGTTTATGACTTTATAAGGTTTGGCAGAAATTAATCAGAGCGCACTTTCATTTTGGGGATCTGCTTCGGAAAAATCAAAAGGCAATAAACCATTTTCTTATTAGATTGTATTAATTTTTGTTGAATCAGAAGATTAAAAAAATCTGTCTCAGAACTTGGTTTTGTAGGTTGCTGTAAATGTTTAAGCCAAGTACAAGTTTCAACAATAACATCATCATAACAACAACAACAACAACAACAACTATGCTTTATATGCATCACATGCTTTATATGCTGTTTTTATGCTTTGAAATCATGTTAACCAAGTTCGATTAGTAAAGTAAATATTTATTTATTTATTGCTATTACATGAATAAACTTTATATTAAAATAAATTTAAGAAAATAATATTGTAATGATATGTTAAAATATTGTGTTGTACTGTATTTTTGATTAAACAAATGCACCATAATCATCATAATTATCATGTTTATAAAGTTTACAAGCCTTTTTGCACTGTTTTAGCTTTCACTCATTGCCATATGCCCTTAAGTATAATTGTATTGTTTACAAATTTAGATTTTTTTTATGCATATTTTTAGATTATATTTCATGTATAATTGTATTTATTGTAATTTCTTTCTAAAATTCTACTTTTTGTATTAATATTATATGTTAGGCACCTAGGGTCTGATTCTGATTCTCTGTATGTCCTGCACATGTGGTTGAATTGACAATTAAATTGACTTTGACTTTGATAAGTGAGCATAAAAGTGTTCTTTGGATAAACAATAAAATGGCATTTAGGACAAACCTTAAAAAATATAAAATGAAAACGATGACACAATTTTAGCTTTTCAGCTATTTAGGAAAATAAAACGAAATACAATAAAAGGTCTATTCGATATACATTGCTATTATTATTGTTAATGTTGTTGTTGTTGTTGTTGTTGTTGTTGTTGTTGTTATTATTATTATTATTATTATTTTTACATGTTTTAGAGCTAACATTTATCATAGTATATTGAATATTACCATAACATATTTTAACAGAATTTAAACATTAACGTAAAACTAATAAAACATGTACTTTATTTAGCAAATAAGATAGTATAGTAAGTTACCATATTTGTACACACAAAAATGCAGTATAAGTACATATATATTAAAATCAAACAGAATTTGAACATAAAACAGAATTTATAAAATTAATATTACATATGCTTTATTTAGCAAATAAAATAAATAAATAATAATAATAATAATAATAACAATAATAATAATAATAATTATTATTATTATTATTATTATTATTGTGTTTTATTATTATTATTATTATTATTATTATTATTATTATTATTTTTATTATTATTATATAGAGTATTTATTAACATACGGTATCATATTTGTACATGTATAAAAATGCAGTACAATACATATTATAATGTATATTTTCAAATTGTCAAAGCAGAACTGAAACTTATAAAATTATTACCACATGCCTAAACAAAACAAAACGAATCCTAAACATTTTGATTTTGCTCTTTGAAGTCCAAACTCAAACTCTCACCAACACATAAAAAAATACATCAAATATTACCTGTTTCAATTTACAAATCAAAACAAAACAAACCCAAAACATTTTGAATTTGAACTTTGAAGTCCAAATTCAAACTCTCTCAAACACATAAAAATACATCAAATATTACCTGTTTCAATTACCAAAACAAAACAACAAACCCTAGACATTTTGATTTTGCACTTTGAATTCCGAATCCAAACTCTCACAAAAACATAAAAAATAAATCATACATTCCATGTTTCAAATACCAAAACAAAACGAAACAAAACAAAACATTTTGATTTTGCACTTTGAAGTCAAAATCCAAACTCCCACAAACACATAAAAACATCAAAACCTTCCCTGGTTCAACTAAAACAAGAGATCAAAATGAGATCAAAACAAACCCTAACCATAAGCATTTTGAATCCTCACTTTAAAGTCCAAATACAAACTTACTTACATAAAGACCCTCAAAACCTTCCCTGTTTCAATAAAAAAAATCTACGCAAAATCAATGTCAACAAGGGCTGTCTGTCAATCTGAAAGTGATTTTAGCAGCGCAAACACTTACGTGTGGTGCAGTTGGTGCTGTAGCGGGGGTCATAGGTCGCAGTCTCAATCTCCCCGGGCTGACTGTAGCTTGAGGAAATCCTGAAGGGTTTGCTCCGAGCGGCCAAGCTGAGGTGAACCACTGCCCAGCTGAAAAGCAGAGAAAAAACCAGCAAGGTAAGCACCAGAAACAGGCAGCGAGGCCGACACAGTGCCTGCAGTGGGCTGTAGTCAGTCAGGGTGGCCCCTGGGGGACCGTCCCCAGCCTGGGGTGCTTCAACACCCTCTTGAGATCTGACAGATGGACACGACTGGCCGTCTGACACGAAACCAGCCCCCTCGGCCATTTTAGGGTCATCCTCTGCTGCGTTATCACACATTCTCAGATACCCACGCTGCTTATAAAAGCTCTCAAATCTGAGTTTTTGTGTGTATTTGACAGTACGTGTAAGAATGCACTGATGTGCGGTTGCTCTACGGGTTTGTGTGCGTTTTTAACCAAACTACCTCTCGTTGGGGAAGTCAATGACCTGGCTAATTTTATTAAGCAAATTGGTTGGATTTCAATTTGCTAGCGGCTGCTGACCAATGGTTTTGAGTCTCCTCCTTTTCTTTTCTCTCCTCCCTCTGCTGTGTTTTTCTTTCTGCCAGACCTGTAACCTGCCTGTTGTTGTTGTTGTATCGCATCTCGCTGAGATATTTGCATCGGTGTCTGATTGGCTCCAACAGCAGGAGTCAAGACACCATGACTAAGTGGGCGTTGATCCTCTAAACAAACACGGAGACAGCTAGAAATCATAGGGAAATGAAGACTGGCCAGAGGAAAAGTGTGCACTTGTATTCACTTGAGGGAAAAAAAAAGATCATTGTTCCACTTTTCGGTTTTTACTCATGCTGTGTTTAAGTGACTGACTTTAGATCATTACAGCTGGTTTTATGTCCTCTACATGTACTAACTAAGCTAGGCTACTAAAGAAAATGCAGTTGTGCTGTTACAAGAATAAATTACTTTTTAATATCATATTATTATTTATTTTATTATTGTATTAATATTCCATATTATTAATATTCCATATTATTAATACTTTTTTGTATATATATATATATATATATATATATATATATATATATATATATATATATATATATATATATATATATATATATATATATATATATATATATATATATATATATAATTATTACATTATATTACATTTATATATACATTTATAAATATATATACATTTATAAATATATAAACATAACAGTATATATACAGTTGAAAGTATATATAAAGTTGAAAGTATATATAAGTTGAAACAGTGAAACTATGAACCAATTTCAATTGGAAAACAGTAAATGTACAAAAAAAAACATCAACAAATAGTAATTCTATAAGATTGACGTTTTTATTGCGTTTGTTTGTTGGTTTTATGTAATACTACTAACAACAGTTTTTATTTTTATTATTATTATTATTATTATTATTGTTGTTGTTGTTGTTGTTTTATTATTATTATTATTGTTATTATTGTTATTCTTCTTATCATCATTATCATCATCATCATTATTATTATTATTATCATCAGCATCATCTTCATTGTTACTATTATGATAATTATAATTACTGTTAGTCATGATGGCACAACTTTTAGCAATTTATTGCTCTGTTAATTCTGGTCACATGATACTTCAACAAAACAAAACTTGAAAAACAAAGATCAAAACAAGATTTCAAAACTAACTAACTAACTAACTAACTAACTAACTAACTAACTAGTAAAGTTGTTGAATTTGATCTTAGAAGTACAAACCAAACTAAAACCGAATGAATGAATGAATTAATGAATAAATGACTACATACAGTACATACATGAATACATACATAAATGCATGCATGCAAACTGTATACATTCATACATTTTTGGAATAATATGGTAAATAAATGAAGACTGACTTCATTTTTTGTGTCAACTATACATGTAAACCTTTAAGCTTTTGAGAAATAAAAAAAACTGACCCTCTGATTACTATTACCCAGTAGCTTGTGTATTTTTTAAACACACACACACACACACACACACACACACACACACACACAAAAAAAAAAAAACTTATTCGGACATGATTCCTTGGATTTACACAAATTATTATTAATATATATTTTTTAATGTTAAGTGGCTGTAAACAATTGATTTGAGCTGCATTTAAACAAACAAATTAAGTTGAATGTTATTCAATTTTATTTGTTTGTTTAAATTCAACACAATTAAGTTGTTTGCAACAGTTTTGCAGTCATCATTTTTTTCAATGTATTAAATGTCTTTGTTTCTGTAGAAAAAAAAGGAAAAATATGTATTTATTTATAATTGTTTTGATATCTTGTTTTGATCTTTGTTTTTAAAGTTGTATTCTGTTTTTGAAATCATATGACAAGGATTAACTCTTATTTATTTATTTATTTGTTTATTTACAATTTAGAATGTTAAATTGAGTTCATTTTGATTTCCAGTTGACCTTTTATTCGTTATCTTCTAAAACAGCATTTGAGTGTTATCATCTAGTCATCTTACACTTGTTTAAAACCTGTTTGAGTTTCTGTTGGACACAAAATAAGACATTAGTTTAGACAGAGTATAGTACTATGAAGTTGAAGGGTCCCAGTTAATGTTCAATAAAATGTTTTCTTTTGTGTCCAACAAACTATCCCTTTAACAAAGAAAAAAAAAAAAAAAAAAAAAAAAACCTTCAACATACTATCAAATAAAACAGACAAGCAGTATGATTTTACATCTGTATATTTCTATTCAATAATAATGACATAAATGCATTTTCTTAACATCAACGTTCCCTTTTTTTTGCTGATTATTAATAATAAATACGCTTATGCAATTCATTTATTCAATATTTTCCTTTGACTCTCTTATTTATCAGGGGCAACAACAGCTGAATAAACTGCCAAATATTTCAGCATATGTTTTGACCGCGTATGCCCTTCTAACCGCATCCCAGAACTGGAAAACACTCATACACTCTCACATTCACACACACATGCACAAACACTCATCCACTATGGGCAATTTCATTTACTCAATGCTCCTGTACCGCATGTCTTTGGACTGTGGGGGAAACCGGAGCACCCGAAGGAAACCCACTTCACACAGAAATGCCAACTGACCCAGCCGAGACTCGAACCAGAAACATTTTTGCTGCGAGGCAACAGTGCTAACCACTGAGCCACCCTGCTGCCACCACATGCGATTCATTCCCTTAATAGCTGATTTGTTTTATAACACACAATCTCATATGTTGTCTGCGGCTCTCTACAAAAACAATGAACTTCCGCCTTTGTTTATTTGTGAGGGAGTAAGAGGAGAATTGAACTTGCTATGGAAAGCTCTGGTTTTCATCATCGCTAATGTTGTTTTTGTACATCTCGAATAATGCATATTAATGTGCCCTAACGTGTAATGCGTTATCATTATAACTGCATTTGGAAAATGATTTCAACTATGTCAGCAGTCAACTTTAACTTACTTACGCAAGACTGACAAACACAAACACACAAACATCATGCACACACACACAACTGACGTACTGCAATATAGACATTTTGTTGAGTTTTATCTAATGAACCAGTTTTGAACTGTGTGGAATAATGAGATGAGGACATGCCATGTGTATTATTTGAAATTCAGCACTATTTAAAGTTAAATAGCTACTGTATGCGTCCTCTGGGCAGAAAACATGAAGTGATATTTGCATATTAATTTTAATGGACAGGGTTGCCATTAGGTGCACTGTATGATAATGACAGCATGCATGCTCGTGGCTTTGTGAGTATGAATTTTTAGTGTGTTTTTTATTGTTGCCTTACATCAACTCTTCATTGATGATTTCACTGTCTCCTGGTGTATTTTTATAGTCAGTGTTGTGTATAAAGTGTGCAGAGGAAATATTCCCCACATCATTAAACTGCCACCACCAGCCTGGATTGTTGATACAAGACAGGATGAATCCCTGCTTTTATGTAGTTAACGCCAAATTCTGACCCTACCATCCGAATGTCACAGCAGAAATGGAGACTCTTCAGACCAGGCAACATTTTTCTGTTCTTCTATTATGCAATTTTGGTGAGTCTTTTATTTGTAAATTGTAGCCTTAGTTTCCTGTTCTTGGCTGACAGGAGTGGTACCCAGTGTGGTCTTCTGCTGCTGTAGCCCATCCACCTCAAGGTACGACGTGTTGTGCATTCAGACATGCTCTTCTGCAAACCTCGGTTGTAACGAGTGGTTATTGGAGTTACTGTTACCTTTCTATCAGCTGGAACTGGTCTGGCCATTCTCCTCTGACCTTGACCATGTTCAAAGTCACTTTTTCTTCCCTGTTCTGATGCTCAGTTTGAATTGCATTACCATGTTTACATACTGTACCTACATGCATTGGGTTGTTGCCATGTGATTGGCTGATTAGAAGTTTGCGTTATCGAGCAGTTGTAGAGGTTTTCCCAATTTCCCAATTTTTCCCAAGTGGTATATATATGGTGAAACAACTAAATGTAGTACACATTTTGTTAGACAAAAGTATTGAAGAAAAATATTTTTACAGTTTAATGCTGTATTTTTTTTTTCTGTAATACAGAAGATTACATTATGGAAAAAGCTAAATAAAAACATCTTAGATAAAGAGATAGTACTTTAAATCTGCATATATATGTCCTTAATATTGTGCAATCTAAGATAAAAATACATAAATAAGTAAAAAAAAATAATAATAATAATAATTAAATTAAAAAGGTCCATGTTACCTTTCACCAGTATTTTAGATACTTTTTGGTAATATTTACTAGAGTATTATATATATATATATAAGTAAAAAAAAAAAAAAAAAAATATTCATATGCTTTTTATGGCTAAAGGAAAATCATAAAAAAAAGCATATGGAAAGGAAAGCAGGGAAGGAAAGTAAAGCATATGAGCCTAGAACTTGGAAAATCTGTAATTAATTATATTTATACATACACATTTATTTTGTAAAACAACCTTTTAAAGAAAGGTAACATTAATCTAATTTGAGCTATGTATACAGTAACTAAGATATAAATCAAAAATCTACACTTCAAATATATCTGTATTTAATAACAAAAT